ATAAGGATTTAAAAGTAATCGCTTTATTGTTAATCATGTGAATCATAATTATTAACAAAAAATACTTTTATTATCATTGTAGTGCTTTATGATATACGATGTTTTTTTGTTTGATTACCTGGCGCATAGACAAACAAATCTGATGGTTTTCCAACACGGGAACAGGCAACATACAATTGACCATGTGAGAAACATGGGTTTTCCAGATTAATACCACAAACACTTAATGATTGCCCCTGGGACTTGTTTATGGTCATAGCAAAAGCAAGCCGCACTGGAAACTGTAGTCGTTTAAACTGAAATGGCACATCAGTCGGAATCATTGGGATGCGCGGTATGAGAACATCTTCTCCTTTATACTTGCCTTTGAGTATAGTTGCTTCTATCACGTTGTTTAATAATTTTTTTATCGCTAACCATGTTCCGTTGCAAAGACGCGGTTGGTTGATATTTCGCAACATTATAACAACCGATCCAACCTTTAATTGAAGATTGTGAGGTAGCAATCCTGGCAAGTCCAGCGAGTTTAAAAATTCCGGTGGATAGTTGACTACATCATCATGGTTAGTAGCCGAATCAACTGATTTATATATCCTCGATTCGCCTGTAATTTTTTCTTGAATTTTGAAATTTAATTCATTTACATCAATGTTTTTTGCAGCCAATATAGCTCGTTCGCTCAACCAATCATGTTTTCTGTAATTTTGAGAAACATTTGGAAACACCTTCTGAATGAGTTCATCTTTTGATCGAGTTAACTGACAAAAACTTTGAGGAAAGTTAATGCAGCCAGTCAACGTGTCTATAGGGAATTTGCCATTACCAATGTCAATGAGTTGTTTAGAGAATATGTTTCCAGATTGGTCATTTTGCAATTCGACACGCATATTCTTGCTTAAATGAAGTACTTTGATATGTTTCCACAAATTGGAGGACTTTAGACATGCATTGAGTTCATCTGCTGGCGTTGATCGTGGAATCACTGGCAATGTTTGACGAAAATCTCCTGCTAATAAAACCAATGCACCACCAAATCGGTTATAATTGCTCCGTAGGTCTTTTAAAGTTCTGTCTAAAGCCTCGAAAGATTTTTTATGTGCCATCGTGCATTCATCCCAAACAATAATTTTACATTGCTGCAAAACCTTTGCCATTGCAGAGTTCTTCGAAATGTTGCAGGTTGGAGTTTCATTGCTTTGCATATTTAATGGCAATTTTAGTGCTGAATGAGCTGTTCGACCACCTTCAAGCAAAGTTGCTGCAATTCCCGACGAAGCGAGTGCAAGTGCAATTTTACTTTGTGAGCGAATTGTTGCTAATATTATAGAAATCAAAAAAGTTTTTCCTGTACCACCAGGTGCATCTAAGAAGTAAATCCCGCCAGTTTCATCATTTGTTACTTTCATAAGAGTATCAAATACATACTTCTGTTGTTCATTCAACAGTGGAAGATTTGTTTGAATTAATTCTTTCAAAGTGTTGAGATCATACAGTTTTTCTCGATGCAACTCTTGGTTAAAAGCATCATGCATTGGACGATTAGGCGCGGCCAGACCTAAATGAATTAATAGTTTGTTTGATATCATCAAGCACATGTCCTCAATTGAAATCAATGCTTCATTGTAAATTTCTTCACTAATTTGTATATTTGGATTTCCCATTCTATTCCGTATTTGATATAAAATATCATCACACATATAATCCTTATACTTGATCCACAAATCAATTGGGTTTGATGGGAAGCACGTAGATATGATTATTGAAAACAATGTTCGTATTTGATGAGCGTGTGATGATATTACAGCCTCATTGAGAGTTTGATCCCAATGAGCGTCATTTTCTAGCAATTGCAAACGTTGACAGGCTTCTCTGTAGGATCCACACAATTCACCATCAACAGTTCGTAAATGTTGGAATGATGTTGGGCCACGTACATTGACTAATAGCAGCCGTAAATAAAAACATTCATCATTGCTTGGATGTACTGAATAAATTCGACCAATCGCATCGGTGGAATATACATCTGGGTATCCTGCAACTGGTTTTCCTTGTTTACGTCGTATAAATCTCCTTGAGGATTGATTCCAGGTATAATATTTTGATATATATATATATATATAAATTGTCAGAAATACTGCTGCTTGTGTGACTTCCATGGACTTTTATTACTTTTCACTTTTCACATAGTTTAATTTTCCAATCCATTATAATTTTTATTTTAGAATTGTAAACAAAACTCAAATTGCTTTAGCGCAATTCGCACTTAAAAGGAACGCCGTAATTCCGTTAAATTCTCGAGTGTTTTTATTAAACTCCCCACTTAAGCTTTAAGCTTATACTAAGAGTTCGTTCAGGTCAATAATCCGAAAACGAGGTTCTTTTCTTGTTGGGACTGGGCAATTTTCACTCTGCTTTTTAAAAACATTTACGATCTAACGACTTAAATTAATTCAGACATACTTAAAGTAGCTTCACTAAAAACGAACCTACTCATTTCCCGTTACGATATAATATTTTCATTCCAATATTTAAAAAAAATGTCCACCTAAACATATTTTAGTGATATTACATAATATTATCCATATCACCTTTAGCAAGCAATAATATACTCGTAATATTTAAATCTCCCCTTCAGTTATTGCATTATTGGAGGTATTTCTTATAACATTGCTTGCCGCAAATAAAAACGAAAAAAAATAATTAGGACCCTGTGAAATATAATATTGCAAGCCTCGATGCGATTACAAATACGGTGCCAATAAAACATCTTTGTACGGTGTTTAATCGGAGATTATTCATATTTTCTTTACTAGTTCATTAAAATTTTTACGTGGTACAGCCATGGTAGTTATATTAGTAGTATAGTTGTAGCACGAATGGGTCGGCTCGACCAGGGAGAGGACCACGCTCTCACAGAATACCAGCGTAAAATAGTAGCTTAATGCTGCTGTGTTTCGTATGGTGAGTGTAAAGAACCGGAGACCCTTTTTACTGGATACGAGGCATTTCATCTTAGTCCTCACGGGTGACAACGCATTTGCATTTTGATTCGTAATCGAGGATAAATCTATGGACTACAGCAACCACTTACCATCAGGTGGACCGTGTGCTTGTTTGTCACACTATCTTATAAAAAAATGGTAACAAATGACTGTCTTATAATTTCTAAAGTATTCCGAACATTTAATCATAAATTATTAAAACAACATATCACAATTTATATAAATGAGGCGCTAACGGGGTTTAGTATGAGTTTTTGATGTTGGGTACCAAAACAAGAAATAATGGGTCCGATTGCGTTTCTTTGGCGCACTTAAATAATGCCGAATAATAGACTTAAATTAGTCTAAAATTCGTACTAATATTATTGCTATTGCGTTTGTTAATTAATTATGTCCACAACACTATTTATGTCCAATTCGGACTTAAATTATGTCTACGCATGTCTTTTGCTATTCCGTTTCTGACAATTTGACAGTTCGTTGGCTTTAAATGAACTTATACGTCTAGGAAGTGTTATTCTGTGTTCGCACCTATTTAGTCCGTACGTAACCTAAGTTTCTTCAGAAAATAGTGAAAAAAGTTTCCTTATGGCTGGGCTATCATTCAAAGAAGACACAATGAGGAACTTCAACGGTATGAGTACGAAATTTATATTATAGAAACTGCTTTTCTTGTATACGGTAGGTATAAGCATAACATGACCTAACTTTTTTCGTTGTAGGGCTGCGAGAAGGATAGCGCATCGCCATATTCGGGACCATTCCAACCCTTTCGACGTGCCTGCAGAGGTTTTTACCAAATTATACAGGCTCTCCAAAAGAACTGCGCATTTTTTAGTGGAGTGTCTTCACCAGAATTTAAATCGACAAAGGCAGCACGGAATTCCTGTGCATATCAAAGTTTTGGCTTCACTCCATTTCTTTGGACATGGCGGCTACCAAACAACGGTTGGGCAGGGGCAGTATTTAGGTTTAAGTCAGCCATCTGTAAGCAAATGCTTACAAGAAGTTGCTGATGCAATTATAACTGTTATTGAACGGTATGGTGCTATTTCCAGAGACTGAAGAGGAAAGGGCAGAAAATAAACAGAGTTTTTACAGATAGCTGGGTTTCCTTTAGTCTTGGGTTTGATAGACTGTAGTCAAATCTCCATTGTTAGCCCAAAAGACACAGCATTTGTGCCAGGGAGATTATTTTTTAATCGCAAAGGCTTTTTTAGTCTTAATTGCCAATTTGTATGTAATGCAAAGATGGAAATTATTCATTTCAATGCCGCTTTTCCTGGATCAACACATTATGCAGCGGTCTGGCAAGGATCCAGTTTGAGCCAATTATTGGAAACCAATTATGTTAACGGAGTTTCAGCTGGTGAATGGCTTCTAAGAGACTCTGGATATACCCAACTGCTTTGGCTGATGACCCCGTATGCCAATGCGGATGAAAATACACCTGAGGCTAGATATAATTTAGCGCATACCAAAACGAGGGTCCTTATTGAAAAAATGTTTTGGAGTGATGAAAACAAGATTTAGATGCATTCACAAGCACAGGACGTTGTTTTATGACCCCGTGAAGGCATCTAAAATAATAGCAGCCGTAGTTGTTCCCCATAACGTGGCAATTAAGAGAAATGAACCTTTATCAGATGAATTGGAACTCGAAGACAGATTGCGGCCAGCAGATGATCCTCCCAGGGATATGAATTTTTTAAATGTGGCAAGAAATATTCGAAATAACATCACAAGACAATACTTTGCATGATGTGTTTTAATTAAAGATTTAAATTAAAGAATTAATAAAACTTAATTTCGATAAAATAGTTTATTTATTTTTATTGATCGCTTCGACGAACATGGTAGCGGCACGCATTATGAAATCGCCAAGATACCGAGCGGCCTCTGTCTGCGCATTGGCGAGCGCCATTTGCGCTTGGGCTCCCTCCCTTAAAGCCGCTATCATAGCATCTTCTTGCGGGGTGGCTGAATCGGCTAGCGGCACTATATATTTATTGTTTTTTTCTCCAGTTCTGTCAAGCAGATATCTGCTGGAGGACCACCTCCAGTCCTTTGAATAGATGCACGCTGTGTGCGCACCTTAGCCTTCGCCCTGTGTGCTAATAACTTGTATGTCTGAAAAATTTAGATTATACATTTAACAATAACTAATATCCAAGTGGGTAAAGTAGGTTGGTTATGATTTAATTTTTAAAAGTTCACTGATATATTTAGTACAAAATTAGGAAAATTTAATGTATGAAGCACCACTAACTAACCTCTAACCAATCTTTCTGTGTCATACGAACACCTCGCATTCCATTGAGGGCTTCTGTCAGTTCAGTCCACAATCTTTTGGTAGCCGGCAACTGAGAATTTCCTGTTGATAAATAAAGACAAATGAAGTATAGGTAAGTATAAAAACATCATGTTTTATTGGATGCCAATTATTTATATTATATGTTGTGTTATAATTTAACGTGAATAAATGATTGTGAATGAAATAACAAACGTTGCAATGCGATATGACTACCAAACTGAATTTACACAGGAATGCTTGTAGATAGGATATGATATGATTATGATCAAATTTAAAATGAACTTGCTATTCTGTAAATAGATGGATGGATGAGTAGGGTAAATCGATAAATTAAAATATAACAATTTACACTACTAAAACCAAAATTCACATGAAATATTTTGTAAACATACCGTTAACCGTTTCCGGATTCCTCATCAAGAAGTTTAATAAATATTGTTGCTGTTCTTTCTTCATTATTGGCTTCTTTGTATCCATATTTATTAAAATTTTAATAATTCTTGCGAAAACTCACACAAAAAATAACCACGACAAACTTGACAACTTGACAGACTAGTGGTGTGGTGTTGCCATTTGCGGCGGCAAACGAACGTAATTATATGTCCATTTCCATAGACGTAGAATTAAGTTCAAATTTAGTAACGTGAACTTATTTTAACAGAAACGTAATAGCTTTAGGTTAAGGACATGGACATATTTAGTAAAATTTTAGTCTGTCATTATTTTGGTTCGAAGAGAAACGCAATCGGACCCAATGGATCTGCGAGCAGCGTCGATGTGAAAAGACGACCCTGCACGTCGTTTGTAAATATTTATTATCTAATTATCGCGGTCGGACTCGATACCTTAAGCAAAATTTGAGTTGAACCACGTGTATACTTAATTTCTAAAAAGATAAGCAATTTTGTTCCACGACGTGTTAACGTGGCAATAAAGTTGTCCATTCCGTCACCCATCACTTCGCGTTGGCTCTGCAATACAGACGGGCGTAAATTTTGCGAAGTTTAAATTATAACAGGGTATTAAAAAACTCATTTTAATGTTTGCAATGTCATTATCATAATAGCGTTTTTGTAAAACGAACTTTGATTATTTGGTGGTTTGTTGTGTGCGCGCTCTCACTTCCAATGGTTTTTGACAAAAAATTTTTTTCGCGCCCGAAGCAAATATGGGCAACCCTCCGGAAAGTAGGGGAGGGGGGGTGGGGAATGCTCATAGCTTACCACGCAGCCGGCTGCGTGGTTATGTGGAGACTTTTACCCACTAAACCCCACCTTTATGGATTGGCTTACTGATCTGACAAGAGATCTTTAGGCCGTACACGGACGCGACCCTCCTTGGCAGAAAGGAGGGAAAATATTTCTTTGTTTGTTTTATATGCATTGCATTTTGCTATTTCTAAAACTTCGGTTACGTAATCGGTCGAGCCGACCCATGCGTGCTACAACTATACTACTAATATAACTGCAGCATCGCTCTACCATGTATAATTAATTACACGTATAGTTACATTATGGTTATAACTCTACCCCTTTTTTACTGGAAACTTGGCATTCCATCTTAGTCCTGATGGGTGACGAGTGACGACCACATAAATCGTAATCTTATCATAACGATTTCTGTGGTGATGACGCATTTGCATTTCGATTCTTAGAGCGCTGGTGCTGGTACGTAACAAAGCATTTTATCTTATTCCTCAGGAGTGACAGCGCATTTACATTGTGATTCTTAATCGAGGATAGATGTAGATTTCTATTTGCAATAGCATACTTACCATCAGGTTTACCATCATACTTACCATCAACTATGTGCCTTATTGTCACCTTTATTATTTAAAAACAATTATATATAAGGTTTATAAATAACTTAGTAATTTAAAATGATTAAATTGCAACAGATATTTTCTTATTCTTATAACAAAATAATAAAATAAATTTAAATATACTGCATATCCCTTAAAACTCTTGCTACTAGATGGTGAAACTAAATCATATAAATGTGTTTTATGGCAATAAAACAGCAGTTTCCACTTAAAGGAATATCGTTCATACAAAATTTTATTATAGTAGGTGTTATTTTATTATAGGTATAATGATTAATATACTTACGCACTGACTGAACAGGTTTGTCCTAAAATAATGTCATATATAATACGTGTATAAAATATTGTCTTGTGGTCGCCGTGTAGTGACCAGGAACTCCTAATAACAACTCAAAATATTAAAAATACTGTGGTTGCCGCATAGAATACTATAATACACAATGTATTATAGTATTCTATGCGTTGCCGCCCCGCTTGTCAGGCATATATCATCAATATCATAAGTTAACAACTTAATATAGTGATTTCTTATATTTACGCGAACACTACACATTGAAATAATACTAGTTTTTACGGAATTTATCGCGCGTATATATTAAGATACCATAAGTTCGTACTGTGTAGATTGGAACAAAAGTTAAAATTTTAATCTATGGTAACTGCGGTTAACTATGACATCTGGACGTTGAACATCTCAGTCCCGCCCGTGACCATGAGTGCTGTAAAACATTCGAAACGTCGGGTATTTAAAAAGTTAAATATACGCGATAAATTCCGTAAGAACTAGTATTATTTCAACTTAATAAAGGTCTTCAACATTTCTTTTTACATCGCCCATATTTGCTATAGTTGCCACGCTTACCAGACAAGCAAAAAAACTTTGTGAAGATGATTAAATTATATTTGTAATTTTCACATCTCAATATTATATTATTTACACATACTTACGTATTATATATATATATAATTTATACGTTACAAATAGTAGTTTGCTATCACTCGACGCCATATTATGGAGTTTGACAGATGCGCATATTATTTGACAAGCCAGAATATGGCGTTTGGACAGACGAGGGGTTAAAGTGTTTTGCTTGTAAACGATCATGTTATCTTTTATAATTGTGATATCACTAGCTTTCTGCCCGCTATTTCGTCCGGATTTGTGGATTTTGAAACAAATAAAAGTATTGTCTGTGATAGGAAAAAGAGATATAGTTCTTAAAATTCACGAGTGCGGTCGAGCTTTGGATGTGGTTCGACATGTACACATGCACAGTGTGATTTAAGTTTTCTTTCTGGTCGGTCCGTTTACGTTATTGCTACGCGATGAAAGCGCCGCCGCAAAATTTTCCTACTGGGGCTAAGATAGACTAACTGTAGCAAGTACTCATGTGACCTTTAGCAGCCAAGTGTAATGTAGGTGCAGTACGTCTAGGTGAAGTAACGACTATGTGAATTATGCAATATGTAGTTGGATGCAGGTAATGTTAGTACCGTGCCTTGTGGGAGAGTTTTTGGGAATATGAGCAGTTGTGAACTTCTATAAGGCAGCAAACAAGCAATAGTGATCCGAAATATTCACATAATTATCTTAACATAATATCATATTTCATTTATGTATTTAACTTCAGACAATGTATATGTACAAGTGAACTTAATGCCTAACGTATTCTCTGCCGATTACCCTTTGGGTGATACGAAGAAAATACAGTAGGTGTATAATTTGATAAAAGATAAAAATATAAATTAATTTAATAAACTACTAAAGAGATAATTCAGTCGGTTAATTAAAATTTTTGTAAACTTTCTTCTTGAATGCATAAAGATTTTAGCTGTTCTGCTTTCAAGAACATATATGTATATGTAAACATTCCAGAGGAGAATGCAGAAAGTCAGATCTAAGAGGGGTGCAATTATGTGAAAACTTCTGAAAATGCGGAGTTAAGCCTCCCAGTCCAAATTTACTCACACACAAAAAAAATATTAAAAAAAGGAAAATCCAGTCACCAAAAGAATTTTTATTGTATTGTATATCCTTGTTTTTACTATGATAACAATAAAAATATCACACAACGTAGTGTTGTACCTTTATTTTTTTCATTCTAAATTAATTTCTCCTTATCTCATCTACAAAGAACATTACTCGGAATAGTGTCACGCAGTCGGAGCGCCCATCGTCCAACTAATGATGCATAAAAATATTTCTTGTGTTGCTTTATATTCATCGATTAATCAGAACATTTCATTTTTATGTTCCGTTTATTTTTAAAAGCATCGGTAAACGCGTTCCTGTGTTTGGACACCCAGACCACGCGATATCCATTAAGAGTATGGTCAATATTGATCAATGTTTTATGGCCGGTCAGTGACATAACGATGCAATTAAATTTCGCCTCCATAATGGAGCGCTTGATGTATATGCACTTAATGCACTTGCTAAGTGTACGCTACGTACTAATTTGTTTTGGAAATAATCAAGTTAATTGTTTGATGAATTAAATTACTTTCTGTGAACTGCTGTGGTTAAGTAAAAGTAAATGTTTTCAATGACAGTTTCAGCCATTCGCCTCCGTAAGAGATTCCATTACTTACCTCATAATATTGTGTCGTGCATATCGTAAATTCAAAATCAAAATTATTGCAAATGGTGACAGAGAAAAATTAAAAAGGAGTTACAAATATCCGCACTATGCTGCAATTTATGATCAGCAATGATCTTATTATAGGGTGTAATAAATAAATGAATTAATTAATAAATATATTACAGTTTCAGACTGCATGTTACAAAAATATAGTTAAATAAGTTTCAGTTTACATTAATCAATGTCCTTTATATTATATTGTACAAAAATTTGAATTTAGTTGTTGTATAAATATTGCAAGTTTGTAGGGTGTATTCATAATCATCATTACAGTCATTTACAGGACCGTATGAACGGTACGGAAAAAATTTATATGGTTATTTATATTTATATGAGAAGTACCAGCTTTCGTTCAAGTCAAAAATAATCTTCAAAATCGGTTCACCTAGAAAAAAATCTGAGGTACTTAACTCACATAAAAAATCTGAGGTAACTTTTTTTCGAACGCTTTACAGCACTCATGGTCACGGGCAGGACTGAGATGTTCAACGTCCATATGTCATAGTTAACCGCGGTTACCATAGATTAAAATTTTTAACTTTTGTTCCGATCTATGCAGTATGAACTTATGGTATCTTGAAGTCTTGCAGTTGTATGCTTGGGTTGGGATTTAATTTTATTTATTATAGGATCCCAAGCAGATGGTAGCACCCAGCCATCTTCTCTATTGAAATTAGGATGTTTTTTGATTTCAATAGCCTCGCGAATCATCCTTGGAAGGAATCGGTGTTCTTTAGCGAGGATTACTACTTACTTCTACTTTGTATATATTATATATACAAAGTTATAAAATACTTAATGCATAAGTGGAATACTATATTTATTTATTTTATAACAAAGTACGATCCAGATTAGATAATTTTACGCTGCACCTGACTGAACTCGGTCACAGTCCAATTTGGTTTTGGAACTCCGCAAAAAGTTAGGAGGCGGACGGCTAACTCGTTCATTGTGACAGGCGGGGACAAATTTGCATTGTAATGGATATCCGAACTTTGCGTCGGTCAAGTATA